TAAGCTGGGACCCTGGACGGAGGAGCTGCACTCTTGACAAGCCACTCACTGCAGTCAAGAGTTGGAGTGGGATAGCCATGGGGTCACTCTGGGAGAATTCCCTCCAGCCCATCCTGCCCCCCATCCTGAGAACAGAAGGGGGCTGCTCTGACAGCCCTTTTGTCAAGTCCTCAGACTTACCAGCCTCTAATCTCCCAATGTTGATCAAAGCAAAATCATATTCACTGCTCAGGGGAGTGTCCTAAAGGAAGCACAAGACTCACTGTGGACCTCCAACAGCCATCATTGTCCCACCTTGCTGCCTCTTCCTCTCCCCTCCCCAGTAGAAGGCAACTTCCCTAGAAATAACTCCTGTCAATGATACATTCAAAAGACAACCCCTAACCCATGTATGTCCAAATCCAGACTCCCTTTCCCAGTTCACTCTAGCTGTCCTTCTATTTGTTTTGTGTTTTTGAAAGAGAGCAATGCTATGTAGCCTAGGCTAGCCTGGAACGATCATGGTCTTCCCATCGCAACCGCCAGAGAATTGGGGTCACAGGTTAGAGCTGCCATGCCCAGCTTCTGTCTTTTCTATTATACTAAGCATCTCACCTGATTCCGCTGCCATCCACACGGTTGGAAGGTGACCCTAAAGTTAGTGCAGATCAGAGTTCCAGGAAGTTCCAGTTCTTGCCCTTTCCTCAGCCCTGGTGCCCACCCTAGGACCTTCTCCCCTAAAAGGAAAAAAGGGAAGCAAAGTTGTAACTGTTCCCAATGCTGCCACACATCTACATAAGTACTCTTCTTTCTAGAATGTAAGATAGAAGGGAAATGATTTGCTTTTTTAACCTCTAACAACTCAGTGCACAGAACATGGTACACAGTAGACACTCGATGCTCATGGACTAGTTAATAAGAAAAGAGCTAACCAAGACAAGAAAGCAGAGGAACCATCCAGGTTCAAGCTCCCCACCAGCTCTGGGAGACAGGAGAGCAAGCCTCAGGCAGAAACACTTTGAGGAAAGGAATACATAGCTATCTGTGGTGAGAATATAAGAAAGCTGGGGTAGTAGGAATTCTGAAGGATCCTTGGAAAGTCAGATTATTACCTGGGAGGCAACCACCAAGCTGATAACGGCTGGGCTCCGGCATCCTGTTGCCTGCTTCAGACTTTGGTCCAGAGAGCTGGGAAGGGGAGAGTTAATCTGGGACTCCCCAACCTCAGGATCTGGAATTTCTTTAGCAACTGCCTTTGGGGACCCACACTGAGCCTCTCCTTCTCAGGGAAACTGAGACCAGTGACTACCAGGAGCTCAGGCCTGGGGCAGGCAGACAGGACAGGGAGGGGCTAGTTAATGGATAATGAGACAACTCAGGCAGAGCAAGCTCCATGACAGTTGACTTAACAGATACACCCTTCTTTGGATCCTCTCCCTCTTAATTTCCACAGCAGCCCCATTCACAGCGTCTTGCCCCCATTTCTCCTTACCCCCATCTCTGGCTGCTCCTTCTGGGGGGCAATGTTGAAACTCTGGCCCCGGCCCCCCCACCACATTTCCCTGGCTCCATCCGGGAGCGGAGCAGCTAAGGGTGGGAGTCCACAATGATGCTCACTCTCTCTGGGGAGAGGCTAAATTCTAGAGGTGGGGAGAAAGAGGCCAGGGAGGACCCAGGGGAAACAGCGTTTGGGATACGAAGAGCACAGTTCCGGGGGTCCTATTTGAAGGTGTGCCCTGCCCAGACAGGGGAGGCTCTTTGGAAACTTCAGTGACTCTAAAGAGGGCAGGCGAGATGCCCAGCCCCTTTAAAGGAGAATACGCACAATTTTTCGGAAAGTAGAAAGGGAGTGGAGGACCTTAAGAAATATGAGAGATGGGGTAACGGGAATACTGATTCCCTTTACCCAACTCCACGTTCTATTCTCTTTCTGTTCGTGAATATTAGAGGCTAGGGTGGGGGAGCAGTGATGCAATTATTAAATGGAAACATTTTGGACCAGCTCTCTGTACTGTTCAGCGAGAAATGAAATGCTAGGAAACAAGTTGTTTTTGTTTGGTTTATTTATGGATTTTGTGATTATGTTCTTGTTGGACTTTGTTTTGATCTTCAGCCTCCTCTGACCACCTAACAACAGGGGTTGAGAAAAGGATGCAGATGGGAACCGGACCTTGTCTTCTTTTCCGGAGAGCGTGACAGGCCGAGGGTCGAGTGGAGTGGGCGGAAGTTGGTGCGTCGGGATGCAGATGTAGTACAGGTATTTCGGCAAGCAGATCTCACCAGGGGAGTCAGGAGTGCTGAAAGCCTAGGAAAGAGTCGTAGTATCTAACCCAGCCTTTACGCACTACAAGTCCGCCTCCCCGCCCCCACCCCCACCTATTCCCCCTGGAAAGCGCAGCCCAGGTACACGACTCCTCCTCTCCAACCCAGTCACCAGATCTCCTAATGAATGATTCATGTTCTGGACGTTGAAAGCTAGGGTTTGGAAACCTTTCAACTCCAGGATCACATCTTCCCCTCCTTCCCAGCTGAACTCAAGAAGCAAAGATGAGATGGGGTGCTGGGAGTCGCGGAACGGAGACGGGGGGGGGGGGAGGGGTAAGGTGCGGGGGTGGGGTGCTGAGGGGCAGGGTAACTTGAGGGCAGCTTGTTTCGACACGGAAAAGACAGGAAATGAATACAAAATAGGTGTTAATGAGCTGCAGTTTTATTGTTTTTGAGTCTGTACAGAGGCCGCAATCCTTAGGTGGGGGCCGTGACATTCAATACTCCCTTCCCCAAGCACACATCCTTCCAGCCTCAGCTTCCAAAGTTTCCCTGTGTTGGCTGCAGCTGTGGAAATAGTGAAGCTAGGACGAGCAGTCAGACTGGAACAAACAGGTATGTTCTTGCTAGCAAGGGGGCCCGCAAGCCTGACTGTAGAAGCCCAAAAGGACGCTGAACCCCACCATCCCACCACACACCTCGATGTCTTGTGGAATAAAGTATGGACTGTAATAAGGAAGCAGCATATGAAGAGGTGTGCCCCGAAGATTTAAAATCCCATGATCCTCTTTTCTCCCACCAGAGCCTCACTCTATTCTTTAATACCTCGAGGTATGGGAACAGCAGACTACAGAGGAAGCAATGGTTAGAAGTGGGAGAAATCAGAGAAATAAATTGGGTGATTTGGAGCATCACCCAACCAGAAATGCAAAGTAGTAGCAACCGAGGGTTAGGTAACAGGCAGACTCTTCCCCACCTGCTGCACAAACCCAAATGTCCACTGGATGGAAAGGGCATAGAGAAGCAGAAAGACGTATCTGATTTTTCCATTTTCAGACCCCTGTTTTGGTTACAGGTTTGTTCCAGGAGCAAGGGCTGCTGGGAGGGGCAGTGGAGGAGGGAGGTGGAGCTGAGTGACTCACGATGAGTCACGGATCCAGTTATAAACACAGAAAGAGGCCAAGGTCCTTCCCACCCCACTCCTTAGACAGCTTCCGTCACTTCTGCTGCCCCAACCCACAGAGCCAATGGAGGAAGGGGGCACAGGGATTTTACATGCAAGTATGATAATCAGCTTAAGAACAGGAGGCAATCACCCTAATTTGCAACTGCAAATCTGCAAAATATTATTAAAAGGGACAGAGTGCCTCTATGACTCGTTGAATCTGTAGTTGGAGATGGAAGTAAAGATGAAAATTTTAAGACTCTGGGGTACATGTGTTTCCAAGCCAGAAAATGGCTTCCAATTCTGTTCTCACTTATGGCTATATGGCTGGTACTGCCTCCTTGGAAAAAGAGGGCACAGTCATTATTTCCCAATGCTCCTTTATTGAAGGAAAAATGAAGTGCCTGGAAACTTGGGCGTGTGGCTGAAGGAAGAAAGGCAAGGACCAGATCTCAGAGAATCAGCTCCATTCTCTGGGCTCAGGATCACATCCCAAGTGCACAATATAGTCATGGTAATTCTTGCTTTATTGGTCTGTGGACTTTGGAAGCCTATGGTGAGGGAAGGTACTTCTATTTTAAGGCACAACAGGGAAGCTTAACACCACCCCTCACTCTTAGAAATTGCATCTTAAAAACTAAATAAAAAGACATAATTTATATTACTTATAAAACACAGTATGAGGAAATCTTTTGCAGTTCTCAGTTTAGCCAGCATGAAACTTGGAGGCTGGCCCTCTGGTGTATTTGCTGGAAGCTGGGGGCAGGGCAGAGAGTGTAAGGTGGAGTGTAACCATGTTAAGTGGAGAGGAGAAAAATACGAACCCTGACTATCTCCTCTCTCCAGTACATCAGCAGGACTCCAGATGCCCTGCATTAACATCAGTAATTGCACTTACATGTAAAGTCTGAGAGATGAGGCCAGGCCTCACCGAGGGATACAGGGCCTGCCTTCCTGTCACTCACGTGATCCTCTTTGGCCGTTTTACTCACTTGAATGCTCCCCACACAACCCTCCCTCACTTCTCACCCCAGTAATTGTATGGGCTTGTCTATTCCAAAAAATACAAGACAGTCAGGCGGTGGTGGCACATGCCTTTAATCCCAGCACTCGGGAGGCAGAGGCAGTCGGATCTCTGTGAGTTTGAGACCAGTGTGAGTTCAAGGACAGCCTCCAAAGCCACAGAGAAACCCTGTATCAAAAACACCAAAAAAACAAAAACAAAAGCAAAACAAAACAAAACGAAAAAAAAACCCCACACAAGACCATCTTTGTTTGCTTTCCAGACATTATTCCTAAACTCCATCCTGTTCAACCCCTTCTTTGCCCCCCAAAAGAATGAAAAATAAAGTTCACCATCCCTTATTTAAAAAAAAAGTCTCAGAGTCCCTCATCCTTAGAATGGAAAGGCCTTTTGGTGCCTTAATAGTCACCCGCCCAAATAAAACTAATTTAATAAAAAGTTAAAGGGCCTAAAATCTTTTTTTTCACATGATCTTTCCCTCCCTTTCCCTGGAATTTCCTTTTATTTTTGCTTTGAAAAGGCAAACAGTTAAGATTGGGTACCATATAAATAAAAACAAACGTGATACAAGGTTTCTGTTTCTCTTCATTTGTCCTCATTTTTTTTTTTAAACAGAGTGGTAAATACAATCTAGTAACAGATCAAGTCCAAACACAGCAGTCAATGGAGAGCAACCTCCCTGGTTTTATTCTGTAGGAAACCCCCTCCCTGCCCAGCTGTCTCCTTCCTACCCACCCAGGCAGGCATCCACACAGGCTGTGGGAGAAAGACTGAGCAGTGCCCACCCCACACCAGGGTGTCCGTAGAGTCAGGAGGGGAGGGGGCTCATTGGTGCAGGTTTCACCAGTGTCACTCCAACTCCACAAACTGGGACAAGTCTAAGGTGATGAGAACAAGGCACAAGGCATCCATTCACCTTGGGAAAAACTGAAGGAGTGCTTAAAATGCATGAATCACGATAAATACTATTTTGATGCAATATTTTTAAAACTCAAGAAATGTAAAAAAAGAACAAACTTTATGAACATATCAAAATTTAAAGAGACAGGATTTGTCTTCATACTTGTTCAATTCGGGGCTCACTTCTTTCCCCTTAATACCATTCCTGTTATATCCCAAGATTTTGATGTTGTTGGTCAATCTGGTTTTTTTAATATTATGTTTATATACTTGGTGGTATGATCCCAGCACTTGGGAAGCTGAAGCAAGATGGTCACACATTTGAGGCCAGCCTAGGCTACAGAATAGGACCCAACTAAGAAAAACAAAAACAAAAACAAAAAAAGCCTTTAATTTCTGTATAGACCTTTAAATTAGACACCTGCCAGAAATGCTTGTCTCAGATTAGGCTCCAGCCTAAAGAAACCTGGGTGTGGTGACTCATACTCAGACCCCACAACTCCAAAGACTAAGGCAGGAGGGTGGCTATAAGGTGGAGGCTAGCCTGGACTACATATAGCAAGTACCAGGCTGGCCAGCCAGGGCTTCATAGCAAAGAAACAAACAAAAATTATCTAAAAATTATGATGGGAAATTACTACATCAACAGATTGGCAGATATGGAAGTGAGATACTTTCAGATTTTTTTGGGGGGGAGCCTTCCTAAACTAAGTAATTTCAACAGGAATTCTTAACTAGCTTTGCTACCAAGGGGAGGTGTGTGTGATCATTTTCCTGACTAGGCAGAAGGAACATGCAGACAGGACTCTCTCTCTCTGTCTCTCTCTCTCTCTGTCTCTCTCTCTCTCTCTGTCTCTCTCTCTCTCTGTCTCTCTCTCTCTCTCTCTCACACACACACACACACACACACAGCGTCATTTGTGACTCGGATCAAATGTGGGGTTACACTCCATTAGTAAGTGATGGCCTAACCTCGGCAAAGAAAACAAAGCACAGTCAACACTCTGAACAAAGAAGCACCCTCACACCCTTCTTCACACCACTTCAGCCACAAGTGCACGCAATTGCATAGATGATTTCCCCCAGAAAAACAATGTAAGGAAAAAGGACAATCGGTGAAGGCTAGTCCTCTGGTGTAAAGCTCTTAGAAATGGCTCTGGTCAGAGAATACGCTGTCCAGACTTGTGCTTTGTGCAAACTGCAAGGGAGCTCTCAGCACTGGGGTCATTCCCACCCCTCTGGAGAACAGGGTTGGCTCAGGAAAAGGGAGGGATCCAAAGGCAGATCAGCTCACTGGGACTAATCTGGGCCTGTGGCTATGGTTCACTAAAATATATTTCTCTAGCTATCTTTATAAATGGCCCCTAGCCCCATCCCAGGCTTCAACACCAACCCTAATATCCAACCCTGATATCAAAAATAATTCTTCTTACAAAGTATTTTTATTATTTTAATAAACTAACCATAGATTAAGCTCAGCTATGGCTTAACAAAAGAAGCCAGGATGTTAACTTCATTCTCCAGAAGTAGACAGGAAGGAGAAAAAAAAATCACTTAAATGGTGCTGGGGAGTAAGTAATTTTAAATTTTTTTTTTTTTGCTCAGGGTCTTATTTCTTTTCCTTTAAAAAATTAGTCAGTAAAATAAGTTGCTTTCTACAGAAATGCAGCAGCAGAGGAGTGTTCTATCTAGGTTTTTGGTTTTGTTTCAAACAGTCTGGCCGACCTCGTGGCCGAGTTCTCCCGCCCTCTTCAGTGCACTCGAACCCACGCTTAGTTATTGCTAAGTAGTTAAAAACAGATCACTCTGCACCTATCACCTGAAGAGAGCTGCACACGAGACTGCTCACCACCCTTCTCTCTCCCCAAGAAGACTTGCTCTTAAAAACTTCTTTTTTATCACAACTTCTTAGCTGAGCTCAGTCAGTCCTCAAAAAGGAGGAAAATATGGGGGTAACAGGCAATCTCCCCTAAAACTTGGATGAATGACAGATGACTATCTAGAAGAACATAAAACTTACTAGGAAAAGAATCCCCCTTCAAGTTCCTCCCTCTCCTACCCTTTCTAACTAGGCCAAGCACACACTGCCTGACCCTTCCGAAAGGAGAATTTACCCAAGCCTGACACCTACCTAATTCAAACCAAGATCAAAATTGCTCAGTATCTCAGATTCGCCCTATACTCCCAACTCCACCACCGTGTGCTTTTTTTCTAAAGCCAATGAACTTTGGTCTGTTTTTTCCTTGACTGAGAACCTTTTTCCAGGCTCCTCCCCCAAGACTCCACCCACCTCCCACCCACACACACCAATTATTTCCCTACTTTCCCTTGGGCCCTGGGACCGGGCGGGCGCAAGAGGCTCTGAGCTAGTCTCCCCTTCTGCCTCAAACTCTGCGAGTAGAGTAGTACAGCCCTCGAGGTAGTACTAGCCCTGTCCTGCTCTCGCCAGCCTGCCAGCACTCCAGCCCCCACAAACATTCCTGCACTTGCCCCATCAACATAGGGGCTGGGTCTTGGAGCCAGATTGAGCTTAACTTTGTTTAGCCCCTTTCCGGCTGAGGTTCTATCATTCAGAACCTGTGCAGCAGTTCCCCACCGGGTTCCCGTTCCCTCCTCCTCAGTTCTTCCCTGTAACAGCAAGAGCAGAAGTTGTTTGTCTCGGGGTGTCCATAGAAGCTGCAGTTCGGTTGTTTGCATTTGGTCTGGGTTGGGGGAATCCCCCGCGGACCTCCAGCCCATCCATCTGGCTCAGGGGGCTCTCTGTAGCCATTGCTATAGGAATCAGCCACACGGAACTGGGGTGGTAACAAGGCACCCCTGTGAACGCCATCTTTGCCTGGCTCCAGAGATGGGATGCTGTCCTGGTGGGGATAGGGTCGCCCAGGAGGGTACTGTCTGGGGAAGGTGGCATATGGCGGAAAGCCACCTACACAGGGACCCCCTGCCAACTGCCTCCGGGGCTCCTGGCAGTGGACTCCACCCCCAGAGGGTCGAGGGATAGTAAAGCCCCCAGGGTAACCAGTAGAGAATGCCAGTGCCTTGGACTCTGCTGCAGAGTCACTGGGCTGGTCCTCGCCACCATCTGGCTCGGGCTTTTTGGCTGGAGGAGGCCCACTAACTAGCCCTCCATTCACGATCTTCCTTTCAGCCTCCTTCTGCTTCTGCTCTGCCAGGAATCTCTCCTCGGCATCTGCAAGGTAGCGCTGGATCATCTCCTCCTGATATTGGTGCCGGTGGCCCATCTTCAGGGCTCCAACAAAAATAAATCTGCCCTCCCCTTGCATCGCGATCCTCATAATGCTCAGGCTCTGCATCACCTCCTGGCTGTACTTGCTCCCTGCGCTGCCAACAGTCTCGGGCGGCGGCTTCTCAGACACCGGACCGTCCCCGGCTGCCTCCTCCTTGCCACCTTTCCAGCTCTTCAGAGAACTGCTCTTCTTCTTCTTGTCTAGTGTTTCTGCACCGCTGCTTGTCCCAGACCCACTCCCCAGCCCCCCAGGCTTGGGGCCCTTGCCATGCATCAGGCCCCCCATGTTCTTCTTAAGCTTGCTACCCAGGGTTTTGCCAAAGCTGCCCAGCTTGTTAGCCACGGAATCTGCTCTCTTCTTGTCCTTCTCCCGGTCTCGCTTTGACTTCTCCTTCCGCCTGCTGCCCTCATTGCCGGTAGAACTGCTGCCAACTGACTCCTTGTCGGATTCCCCAGACTCAGGAGTGGACCTGGGCTCATCTCCAGCTGAGGCTGTGGGGGACTCGGGCTGGGCCAGAGGAGCCTGTAAGAGAGAACAGCATTGACTGTTACCTCACTGGGCTGGTGTGGGAGACATGGAACCTATCTAACATCTTACAGGGCTTCCATGGTAAGCAAGCAAGTCTGTGGAACCTTTTCTTGATGAGTGATTGATGTGGGAGGGCCCAGCCCACAGTGGGTGGTGCTACTTCTGGGTAGGTAGTCTTGGGTTGTGTAAGAAAGTGTGCTGAGATTAAAGGTGCACGCCTTTAATCTCAGCACTTGGGAAGCAGAGGCAGGCAGATCAGGCAGGCGGATCTCTCTGAGTTCAAGGTCAGCCTGGTCTTCAAAGAGAATTCCAAGACAGCCTCCAAAGCGATGCAGATTTCTCTGCTTGAAAAACCAAAAACCAAACAAAAGAAAAAGAAAAGAAAGTGGGGCGTACAGGCTAGTAAGCAGCCTTCCTCTCTGGCCTCCACGTCAGTCCCTGCCTGTGGCCCCACCCTGGCAGCGATGGAGTGGAGTCAGAATGTGTGCATCCAATAAACCCTTGGCTCCCCACGTGTGGTCACGGTCTTTACCACAGCCACAGGAAGCAAGTGTGCCATCATCTTCATCTGTGGAGTGACTGTCTAGCTCCAGAGAAGGGCTATGAAATGACAAAGGCTGCTCGAGAGGCCACGGTCCTCTCGCTTCAGCCAGGTGTGTCACGGGCCAAGAAAAGACACTTATCTGGTATCTAACTCACTGAAGTTCCATCTCCTTCTATAATAAGGAGCTCTAAAGGGAGCCCGAGAGTCCCCCAGCAACGAAGCACGGGATGCGTGGCCTGGGGGGGGGGCTTTCTCCTCCCTCCCTCCCTCCCTCCCTTCCTTCCTTCTTCTCTTTCATTTGAGACAGGGTTTTGTTACACAATCCAGGGTAGCCTAGTACTCACAATTCCCTTGCCTCAGTTTCCCAAAAATACTGGGACTAAAGTGTTTGTTACTTTGCCTGGCTGGAAAAAAAACGTTTTTGCAGATACCAGTATGTTCATTATTACAAGTCTTCTATGTTCAGAATTAATTTCAAGGAAGCCTTAACTAACCACAGGCACGCAAGCCTGAGCACTGCTTTATACATTCCACACTCCAGGGTTCATAGCTTTGCCTTTGTTCCGGAACTCATGACCAAGAACTCTTTGGCGTTCTCTTTCTAGTGTCCAAAGCAGATGTATCCAAAGAGTGAGGGGCACAAACACAGCAATGACAATCTCAAGCTACATCTCCAGAACAAAAGAAGAAGGTTTCTTAAGGAATGTAGTTAGCAGAGTGTGGGGGGGCTGGAGAGATGGCTCAGTGGTTAAGAGCACTGATTGCTCTTCCAGAGGACCCGGGTTCAATTCCCAGCACCCACATGGCAGCTCACAGCTGTCTGTAACTCCAGTTCCAGCAGATATGGCATCCTCACACAGACATATATGCAGGCAAAACATCAATGCACATAAAATAAAAATAAATTATTAAAAAAAAAGAAAGCAGAGTATGGGGCTAGACATGTCCCTCAGTGGTGAAACACATGCTTAACATGTGGAGGTCCTGGGTTCCCTCTCCAGATAGAGTCAAGTAATAAAGTACATAAGAAAGCAGAGTGTGACTGGAGACAGGTGGGCCACAAGAAGGCCAAGTTCTGATGACAACGGATCCCAGCTGAGCCTGTGGGCTCCCCTTGCTCTTCCTGTCACTTACAGCGAGGACACAAAGGGCTATGGGTGGGAAGAACCTTCACCTGGGCATCAGACGACAGTGGGATCCACTTCACATTCATATAGCTGTGCAGCAGATGTAATTTGACCTCCAGGGACAAAATTATACTGTGAAAAGAGGGAACAATTAAACAGCTATCACTTCAAAGACTCGGCAGCGTCCAAATGCTACATATCACACAGCAGTCATCGTCACCGCTGACGTTACCTAGCAAATTCTGACAATCAGCTGAGGATTACAGCTTTTGGTTTTCTTTTTGTTTTACAGAAAAGGGATCACTATGTAGTCTGTGCTGGCCCTGAACTTGCAGTGATTTCTCTGCCTCAACCTCCTGAATGCTAGGTGAGGTGTGGGGCACCATGCCCAACTCTAAGGACTTTTTTTTAAGGTAGTAGACTTTAAAATCAAACCTTTCAGCCAGCACCCAAAGTTGCAAAGGCCCCAAAAGGGAAGCACTGGGTAAGAGGTAAGGGCCCATGTCTATAGGCGCATCTCTGCAGGCACAGAGAGGCATGCCAGGGGACTAACAGACCACAAGGAGGCAGCTCTGAGGAGGTGAGAAAGAGCGCATTTTCCTTGCTATCTAAATGCCAGAAAGATGGAATTTAAGAGCCAACTATTTTGGTCACTTGTTTAAAACTCCTCTGACTTTGGCTTAGAATCAAATGGGATTTGGTTGTGTTCCTTTTCTGACCACTGTTCTGGGGATTCTGGGATGTACAGGGCAGGAACACTCACCCTGCTCTAAGACAGGAAGACAAAGCAGCTGCAGGACCCCAGTGTCCCAAGGCCCAGCCTGTCTTCCCCCTCTCCACCTTCCCAATAAGCCTGGACCAAGGACGTGACTGCCCTGCTGCTGAGCTAGGGAAGAAGGGTGTGTGCCAGGCCAAGGCTGCTGCAAGCGGGAGAGATCTCGCTGCCGTGCATACGAAAAGCTAAGCTTGCCTCACCTGGCCAATCGGACATTGTCATTGTCATCTTTGCCCCACTCCCAGCCCTTTCCTGGGTCCACAGCAAAGTGCAGGGGCAGCAGCTTATGCTCTGAGTCTGTGAGCGGGATCACAGCTGGGGAGGGAAAACATGTATCAGGAAGTCTTCCTGAGAAGGGCAGAAGGCAAACGAACACGCACTGACTTCATCAAACTCGGATGCGGGCCACAACTGACTGGAGTCAACCCACCCTCAACTCTTAGAAGTGAATTACATGAAAAACCAGTGGACTTCCCCTTACCACCCAGCACACAATTGAGCCTATTAATCCCCTGGACTCCTGCAGTGAGCCAGCCTACTTTCCACAGACAGGTGCGGCAATGCAGTCCTTAGAAGGCCAGTATCTTAGTACAGACCTTTACTCCATAACGGGACAGACGCCCTTTTCACCAAACCATCCCCTCTTTAAAGTTAAAAACTCTTGGTAATATTGTGTAGCTTGGTTTAAAAACAAAGACAAAAAGCCCCAAACTGGCAGAGTCTGGACTTTCATTTTCCCCCTTCTTAGCTATCATTTCCGCTTTTGAGGAAAAATATAGAACAAAACCCAGACACAGACACAGGGCCCTCACCTTGCTCCCTGGCACTGTCCTTCTGCTCCATCGACACAAGTGCAGAGAAGTGGGCCTGATCATAGGCGAGCACCAGAGGGGACCGGTGACACTGGCTAGCTGGGACCTCCAGCGGGAGGTAGATCCCTCCAAATGGAATAGGGGCAAATGCTGCAGGAAACAGAAAGGTTGTTATTACTAAGGCTGGGGTCTTGCAGAGTTCAGTCTCTCTACCCTACTTCTCTTTTTTAAGATGTATTTTTATTATTTTAAAGCATGGGCATTCGTGTGTGTTTGTGTGGGCCTGCACATGAGTGTGGAATGCCAGGTCCCCTGGAGATGGCGTAACAGACAGCTGTGGCTACCCAGTGTGGGTGCTAGAACTAACCCTGAGTCCCCTGTAAGGCAGCTGAAGCTTTTAACTGAAGCCATCTCTCCAGCCCTCAACCCCATCCCAATTAATCTGAACAGCTTTCATTAGAATCTCTTGAGAATTTTCCACTGTCTTCCTACTGTGTTCAGCCCAAGTCTCTTCATATACTCAGGACATCCTGAGGTAGAATGACAGAAGTGACAGCTGCTGACTCACCTTCCCCTCCGGAGTCCCTCAGCATGGTGTCTGCTACGACCACTATGGGCCTCTTGAGCACATGAGCGAGGACAAAGACATGGAACTCCTCCAGGCTCTCATACACCGGCTCCTCTGAGCTCTCCACTCTCCAGTCACAGGGGAAGAGAATGGAGGAGGCACAGGAGAGGGGAGAAGGAGGAAAATAAACAAGAGTCCTGAGATAGCTCCAAAGTGAGGGAGAGAGCACCCTGCAGGTTATTCTGTGCTATGCGCTTGGCTTTACCAATTGGGAAATCCAAGACAAAGCTATGGGGTAGAAATGGTGTTACAAATCTCCAGATTTGTAAGGGACTGGTGACATGGGTAAGGGTGGTTGCCACCACGCCAGTGACCTAAAGCCCCTCTCTGGGAAGCGCCTGGCAGAGAGAAGTGAAGAACTGACTCCTTGTCCTTTTCCCTGACCTCTATGCTGGGTTGCACAGGAGCGCTCGCTCACTCACTCACTCACTCACTCACTCACTCACTCACTCACTCACTCCTCACTCACTCATCACTCACTCCTCACTCACTCCTCACTCACTCCTCACTCACTCCTCACTCACTCATCACTCACTCACTCACTCATCACTCACTCCTCACTCACTCCTCACTCACTCCTCACTCACTCAGCACTCCTCACTCACTCATCACTCACTCACTCCTCACTCACTCCTAACTCACTCACTTGCTCACTCACTCACTCACTCATCACTCACTCATCACTCACTCCTCACTCACTCATCACTCACTCCTCACTCACTCGCTCGCTCACTCACTCATCACTCACTCACTCACTCCTCACTCACTCACTCCTCACTCACTCACTCACTCCTCACTCATTCACTCACTCCTCACTCACTCACTCATCACTCACTCACTCACTCCTCACTCACTCACTCGCTCACTCACTCGCTCTCTCACTCACTCCTCACTCACTCATCACTCACTCACTCACTCCTCACTCACTCACTTACTCATCACTCACTCCTCACTCACTCCTCACTCACTCACTCACTCATCACTCACTCATCACTCACTCCTCACTCACTCACTCATCACTCACTCCTCACTCACTCACTCACTCCTCACTCACTCATCACTCACTCCTCACTCACTCGCTCGCTCACTCACTCATCACTCACTCACTCACTCCTCACTCACTCACTCGCTCACTCACTCATCACTCACTCCTCACTCACTCACTCCTCACTCACTCACTCATCACTCACTCACTCACTCCTCACTCACTCACTCGCTCACTCACTCGCTCTCTCACTCACTCATCACTCACTCACTCCTCACTCACTCACTCATCACTCACTCCTCACTCATCACTCACTCATCACTCACTCACTCCTCACTCACTCACTCCTCACTCACTCACTCACTCACTCATCACTCACTCACTCATCACTCACTCCTCACTCACTCCTCACTCACTCACTCATTTACTCATCACTCACTCCTCACTCACTCATCACTCACTCCTCACTCATCACTCACTCACTCACTCATCACTCACTCACTCACTCATCACTCACTCACTCACTCATCACTCACTCATCACTCGCTCTCTCACTCACTCCTCACTCACTCACTCACTCATCACTCACTCCTCACTCACTCACTCGCTCACTCACTCATCACTCACTCGCTCACTCCTCGCTCACCACTTCCCCACCCCACACATACAGAACAAAGACCAAGCAATCTGCAGGTGATCCGCAGCTCTCAATATTCTCCTTCATACTCACCTCCCACACCTCCTTATCAGTCAAATACACAAGCTCACAGCTGCATCCTGCTTTCCTGACCCACTACAACCCACACATGAATGTCACAGGAAAGAAAACCTCCACACTCTTCTTGTTCTCTTACTTAAAGAGCAGCCTCACCATCTACTCAGCAGCTTAACTAAAGTTTGTAAAATGTGTTCTTTTTCTTACTTAGCTTCAACTACTCACTGGCTGGATCAACTCCATCTCCCATGTGGCTCTTATATCTCCTGCATGTCTACCTACCACTCTGTTTATTCCCACACTCCTGACCCAGATTGTTTCTAAAATCTCCTCTACTCTAACTTCCCGTTTACTTTATCACCTGCCTGGGTATTGGTGTATTCATATGCACAATTTCACTTATGAGTCTCACACTTAAACTCAGATGTCTGAGCTTTACCTTACTCCAACTCAACTGGAACGTCTTGTGATACAAAAGCTCAAAACTCTGCATGCTAAGTAATCGACCCAGAGTACAACAGGGGTTAGGAACATAGTTCAGTGGTACAGGATATGCCTAGCATATTCAAGACCCTGGATTCAGTCTCCAAAAGCAGAAAAAGAAAGAAAATCACACGAAACACACAGGAATACATCGCCCATCTTCAACAGTTATAAATACACGGACAATTTCATTTCACCTACACCTCAATCTAATTGCTTATCCATTCCCACCCCAACTCTACTCTGCTGCATTATTCTGAAGTAAACCCATTATTTAAATATATATATATATATATATATATATATATATATATATATTTCTGTCTCTATGTACAAAAAGGACTCCTTTTGGAGGCAGGAGACATAGCTCAGCAATCAAGAGCAGTGACTATTCTTCAGAGGACCAGGGTTTAATTCCCAGCATTCACATGGCAGTTTGCAACCATCTGTAACTAGTTCCAGAGAATCTGACTTCCTCTTCTGGCCTTTGCTGACACACACATTACAGACAGAGGTGCAAACACACACACACATACACACACACACATACACACACACACACACACACACCGAATACATTTTAAAAGGACTCCTTTAAAAACAAACAACCACAATACCTCTTAAAAACACACTTAAAAATGAAAACGTACAGATACTGTCCACCTTCCCAATCTTCTTATCAACGCCCACACCCTGCAACTGATAAGCTTTGAGAGTCCTTGTTCTGTAAGTCTCCTGTTCCTTTTCATTTTTCTTGTAATTTATTTACTTGAGATGCTGAGCCACTTCGCCTAATGTGTTCCAAAGCTTACACAGGACACAAGCTGGACTCTTCACATGACCCAAGAGAAATCTTATATGGCAAACAAAAGAGAGCTGCCTGCCCCCCATCAGTCTCTGCAGAGACACACTGTGCTGCCACACACCTCTGTGCCCTTGCCATGGCTTCTCTCTCCTTCCAACGTCCTTTCAGCATAGAGGTCTAGATTTGGGGCTGGAGACCTGAGAGCTCACTCACTGAGGACACCACAAAGATGATCCCTGCTCCCCCACGTAGACACACTTACCCACCACCACTGGCTCCATTGGTGCCCAGATGCATTCTGGGCTCACTTGAGGCAAGCTTGATGAGTTCATTCCATTCCTTCTGCCATTCATCTTCGGTATAGACCAGTCCTGACTGTGAAAGACATTGTGCAGTAATGAAGGTCAGGTTCTAAAGGCGATACCATCCCAACCCTCCCAGTGCTACATCCACTCTCTAGTCCCTTAGCACTTGCTTTACACTTGCACTAAATCAAATTTCTTCTCCTTTTCAGGGTCAAGACCCATAAAATAGGTTGGCTGGTTGGTTGGTTTTTAGACAGAGTCTCATTGTATAACCCTGGTTGTCCTGGAACTCCCTATGTAGATCAAGCTGGCTAGCATTGGCTTCTACAGTGCTGGGACTAAAGGCGTGTGACACCATACCTCATGTTGTTTCTTTCTGAGACAGAATCTTATGTATTGACACTGAATTAGCTATGTATTAAGGCTGGCCTTGTAATTCTGGTCCATCTCATCTATCTCCCGATGCTGGGATCACAGGCACATGTAGCTTTGGAGGCTGTCCTGGAACTCCATCTGTAGACCAGGCTGGCCCTGAACTCACTCGCCTGCCTCTGTTTCCCTAATGCGCCACCAACACCCAGCAGTCTCACATTTCTTAATCTATTCCTTTTCCACTGGTTGCAACCTGACTCCTACTTCTGCTCTCCACCCTACTACCTATCCGCACAAGGTACTTCAAACTGACAGCCAATGACTCTGGTTTTCATTTTTCATAGCCTTTGTGTCTATTTTCCTCTTTAAACATTCTACTTTAGCGGCTATAGCACCACTATCTCTTATTCTCTGAACTCGCCACACCACAAAATTGGGGTTTGGGCAACTATTTGCACCTTGCTTTCCTCTGGGTGATCTCTTCACAGGCTGTAATCGTATCTATTCCACTTATGAGCTCAGGACCCTAGGATCAACCCTCTCAAGCCCACAATTCCTTTTCATTTCTATGTTCATATGTCCACTGTCTGCCAAAAACTGCAACCTATCCAAAGCGACTTTAATTCTAAATTTTTGAATTTAAAATTAAGCTCCTGTCTCTTCGCATATTCATTCTTATTCCTATATTCTAACCTTATCAAACAGCACCCACGATCACCCAAATACCCAGATTAAAAATCAGGGAGTCACCTGACATTTCTCTTCTTTCACTCGTCCCACACCAGATATCTCTCTCAACAAGTACTAAGCGTGAACTGCATGCATCTCTCTGGTTTTCTGAATTCTTCAGACCCATTCCTATTAGGCCACAGTATTTCCCCCCCAGTGATCAAAATCTAATGGTTTGTTTCCTGATGACAGTCATTCTAAGACTCTTGACAACCCATGCATGGTACACAAAGCCTACCTCATGCCCCGCCCCTTTCTCGGCACAGGTCTCCTCTCTATCAGAGCTGTCTATCCTGACAGACACTGCCTCATACTCTGACTTTTTCCGTAAGTGATTCCCACTACCTGGAATGACCCCCCCTATGCACCTGGTAAACAAACCCTCAACTTTGGCAGCAAAGCTCTCTGAGGCGTTCTCTAGCCTCCCAGCAGATTAGCCACTGCTTTCTTTGAATCTCTCCTCAACTACTGTACAGAACTCTATTATAGACATGAACTTGAGTCAGGCGCAGTGACACACACCTCAGCATGCAAGAGGCAGAGACTGGCACATCCCTGAGAGTGCCAGGCTTACCAGGGCTACCAGGGAGGCTGAAAATCAAAAGAAAACAAGACACCACATCTGGTCTGTTTTGCTCTATATCTTTAGAGGTCCATTTTTATTCTATCGTTCTACAAGAAAGAGTCATGTTTTATGCAACATGGCCCAGTGCCTATTATGTGATCAACAATCAATAAATCCAGGCTAAGTGAAGTTACAGTTTTTATTAAAGGACTGTGTATAGTAATACAAATAATTTGCTCTGTCTTCTTGCTTTTTGAGACAAGGTCTCACTGGGTAACTCAGTCTGGCCTTAACCTCACACTAACCCTCCTGACGGACTTCCTCCACATCCAGCTTTTAAGATGTATTGGCTTTAGGGGATGGGGTGCAGCTGAAGTGTAGAGTGCTTGTCTGGCATGCAGGAAGCCCTGATTCTGATCTGCAGCATCAGATAAAATGGGTATGGTGGGACACTCCAATAATCACGGATAGTCCTGGCACTCATGTGGAGGCAGGAAGATGAGAAGGTTAAGGTCATCCTCAGCAACAAAGTAAGTTGGAGGCCAGACTGGGTTAATTGAGAGGCGGGGAGGGGAGAAGGGGATATGAGAGGAGGGGGTAGGAAGGGAGAGGGGAGGGGAGGAGAGGGGAGGGGAGAGGAGGGGAGGAGAGGGGAGGGGAGAGAAGAAGGCTTTAGGACATGTGGTGACTCGACTTGAGAGGTAAGTTTACCTTTCTGTTTAGCACAGTTACATCCTGACAACATACACAATCTCAGGGGAGCATGAGCAGCACCAGAACAAATGTCACAAGGGCTAGAGCTATGTGAGAGTGTGTGACTTTAATAAAAAGGCAAAGCAGTTTGCGATGTATAAATACTCTCACAGATTTCATGTAAAATAAAAAGGACAATGCAAAAGTTACATATAGAATGCTCGTGTCATTTGATACACATATCCAGGAAGGACCTCTCCTTCCTCCTCTCCCTGTCACCTATTCCTGGTGGTTTTTAGCATTTTGAGACAAGGCTTTTCTGTGTAGTCCTGGCTGTCCTGGAACTCACTCTGTAGACCAGGCTGGTCTTGAACTCACAGAGATCCACCTGCCTCTGCCTCCCAAGTGCTAGGATTAAATGTCTGTACCACCACTGCTTTTTTAAGATTAATTTTATTTTATTTTATTTTTGGTTTTTCGAGACAGGGTTTCTCTGTGGCTTTGGAGGCTGTCCTGGAACTAACTTGGTAGTCCAGGCTGGCCTCGAACTCACAGAGATCCGCCTGCCTCTGCCTCCCGAGTGCTGGGATTAAAGGCGTGCGCCACCAACGCCCGACAAGATTAATTTTATTTTATACATGCATTTTGGCTGCATGTATGTATGTGCACCACATGCTTGCTGGTGCCCAATGAGGTCAAAAGAGGGCATTGGTCCCCTGGAACTGGCATTATGAATAGCTGTGAGTCATCAGATCTCCTCTACAAGAACAAGCAAGTACAGCTGAGCCACCTCTCCAGCCCCTCTGCTTCCTGTGTTAGTACATACGGCCACTAGGTGGCAGACACTCCTAGCAAGTTTTACCATCAATTTCAACACAAATCAAGAAGGCGCAGGAAAAACTAATTTGAGTTTTGATATCATAAAATTCGAAGCATATCAGATCATCACCTTCTTGTCTCCTTCCTGTTCCCAAGGTAAGGGATGAAGTCATCAAAGTTCAATCAAGACAATCATGCATGACACATTTCCAGTATGAGACTTTTACTATGGCAACCAAAGGACTAAAAGCAGCTCCTTCACTAGCCTCTATTTTCTGTACACATGTGCCCCAGAAAGAAGGGAAGAAAACATGGGAAAGAACTTAGGTACCTCTGGTTCTTCTGGGCAAACACTTTTATAATCTAACCCCTATTTTTAAAGTAACTATAATAGATTTAATCATCAGAACTGAGCACACTTGTTTTACTTTTGCTGTCATTCCCACTTAACAGTTGCCATGCTCTGATGAGGTCTTTCCTTGTCCATAGTGTGGTCAAAGCTGAAGTTCAGCTATGACTTACACTCAGCAACCAAGGCAGAGCTGGTTACTAATTTGGTTTGAACTGTAAATCCTAGGCCAGCTTGGATCAAGTCCAGGAAAGGCAGCTCTCTGCAAGGTCCACCCAGCTTTGTGTGATAATAAAAAATGTCAATTTGTAGCCGGATGGTGGCAGCAGTGCAAGTCTTTTATCCCAGCACTCAGTGAGTTTGAGGCCAGCCTGGTCTACAGGGTAAATACCAGTACAGCCAGAGCTATGTAGAGCAATCTCAGAGGAGGAAGGAAAAAAATGATTGTCAACTTGTGTTTTTGCCCCTGTGGATTCTATCTTTGGAGCAAAAATGATTAATCAAGGAAATGTCTATGATTTCCAGCCTCCCTCCTTCCCCCCCCCACCCCCACAGGTGGGTGTAGTCCTGGCTGTCCTGGAACTCTTTGTGGTGATATTTTATTTATGATCCAACAGATAAAGCTTATCTAAAGATCAGAGTGCAAAGCTAGCCACACTAGTTAGTCTCGGGAGACAGAGGCAGACAGATCTCTATTAATTCAAGGCCACCCTGAGCTACACAAAATTGATCCAGTCTAAAAGAGAAACAGAGCTCATGCAAAGGTGATCTCAGCACTTGGGATGCCATGCCTTTAATCCCAGCACTAGAGGAATATAAGGTGGGAGGAGAGGGGAGCTCAGTGCAGTCTGGAGATGAAGTCTGAGGACAGGATCGCCCTTTCAGTCTGCGCATTGGTAGAGGTGAGAACTCTCTAGTGGCTGGCTGCTTTGTTTCTCTGATCTTCAGCTTTAACCCCAATATCTGTCTCTGGGTTTTTATTATTAATACTAATTAGAATTTGTGCTATATCTCTGTAGTCCAGGCTGGCCTTGAACTCAGAGATCCACCTGCCTCTGCCTCCGAAGTGCTGGGATTAAGGGTGTGCACCACCACTGCCCAGCTTTCTATGATTCTTTTTCAAAGATTTATTTTTAATTATTTGTCTCCATATGTCATATAAATGTGGATGCTCACAGAAGCCAGAAGAGGGCATCAGATCCTCTGGAGCTGGAGCTACAAGTAGTTGTTAGCCGCCTGATGTAGGTGTTATGAACCAAACTCCTATCCCCTGTAAAAGCAACAAATGTTCATAACTGCTGAGACTCTTTCCAACCCTCAAACTACTGTACACCATCCTACTTGAAACACCCTGTAACAAATGGGTTCTTTGCTTTAAAGAAACACACTACGTTGTGTGTATGGATGTGCATACATGCCTATATGGAGGCCTGAAGGTGATGTCAAGTGTCTTCCCTGATTGATCCCTTTATTATAGAGACAGAATCTTACTGAACCTGTAGCTCGTCGAGCCCAGCAAATCTAGCTGCCCCTGCTGCCTGCCCTAGGGTCCCATCCCTTGTCTCCTGAGTGCTGAGGGTACAAGAGACAATCAAACCTGTATGGCTTTAATGTGAGTTCTGGGAATCTGAACTTTGGTCCTCATGCTTATGTGCCAAGATCTATAACAGGAAGCACTGAGCCCCAAAATGACATAAAAGTTTATTTTAGCTAGGCAGTGGAGGTTTACACTTTTAATCCCAGCACTGGGGAGGCAGAGGCAGGTGGATCTCATGATTTCAAGGCCAGGCTGGTCTACAGAGGGAGTGCCAGGATTAGCTCCAAAGTTGCACAGAGAAACCCTGTCTCAAAAAAACAAAAAGAAAACAAACAAACAACACCACCCTTATTTCAGCTCTGTATTATTGCCAGTTAAAATGGAACAATGAAAACTGGGGATGGAGGAAGGCATGGGAAAAAAAGAAAGCCTCTGAAAAGATATTACCACATCTGGTATCAGAAATAACTAGTCAAAGCATGGCCAAACAAAACAAAACACCCAAAGACGGGAACTATACAGACAGCCCAACAGTAAACCCTTGCTGTTCTTGGAGAGGATCAGGGTCAGTTCCCAGCACCAACCCTGGGCAGCTCACAACTGCCTACAACTCCAGTTCCAGGAGGACCAATATTTTATTCTGTCATCAAAGGCACTTTCGTGCACATGTACATGCTCAAGCACTTATATACAGAAATAAACAAAAGCAGTTACACACGAAAACAAGGTATACTGATATGGCAGACACAGAGAAAAGGAGAGAAGAACTAAAGAAATAGAAACGAGGAAGCCCGTTATTCTACATAAATGCACAATGCCATTCTTACAGGAACCAGTCACCTTCTTCCACAGAGAAGCACATAGGAAACACTCCAGGCTCTGTGGAGCACATGTCACTCTGCAGTCTGTGCTTAAACAGAGACAGCAGCTACATCTATAACATACACCAAGGCTGCCTTTCAGTGAAACTTTTTAACCAAAACTAAGAAAACAGTTGCAGTTTTCCCAATTCCCAGTGTGGAGGTGGAACATAAAAATTCATCATTACTTTCTTGCATGTCAGAAGAGGACACCAGATTCATTACACATGGTTTATGTGCCTCAATGTGGTTGCTGGGAATTGAACTCAGGACCTCTGGAAAAACAGTCAGTGCTCTTAACCTCTGAGCCATCTCTCTGGCCCCTCATCATTACTTTCCTATATAAAAGTAATCATTACACCAGCCAAATCCCTGAACAGTAATATTTAAATTCAATTTAACAAGTATCATTTTATATTCTTTAATCAAACAAAAACTAAGTATATGAAAAGCAAAGCTATAGAATACTAAAAACATTCAAGCGTTTGCACATGAATTAAAAACATGGGTGACCTGTAATAAATAAATAAATAAATACATAAATAAATAAATGCTTTTTTTTTTTAAAGAATTAAAAACAAGCTGGAAGTAGTGATTTACCCATATCCCAGCAATTGGGAAGCTAAGGCAGAAGGACTACTGCAAATTCAATGCCAACCTGGACTATGTAGTAAGTTCCAGGCTGGCCTGGGTTAGAGTTAACAGCCTGTTTAAGAAGAAAAGGGAAGAGGGGAGGAGAAGGGTGAGAAGGGAAGTACAGGGAAGGGGAGGGAGGAAGAGAGGGGAGGAGACAGAAGGGACTCAAAAGTCATCTACCACAGGTTAGATAGCTCAGCAGATAAAGGCATTTGCCACCAAGTTTGATGATCTGAGTTTCAATTCTTGGAATCCAGAGTGGTAGGAGAGAACCAACTCCACAAGTTGTCCTCTGACCTACACACGCGGGCACGTGCACACACACACACACTGTGGTAATGCATGTACCGCCCCCCAACAAATGAATGAATGAATAAATGTGATGTGGGAAGTCCTGTGTATATGTCAATAAAGCGCTGTTGGGCCAATAGGGAACCAAAATAGGTGGGACAAGGAGTCCAGGAGAACTCTGGGAAAGAGAAACACAGAGAGTCAAGATGTAACGCCATGGGGTAGGAAGCCCGGAAACTTCTCCAGTAAGGGATATACTTAGATTAACAATTACGGGGTAATTACTTAAGTCAGAGCTAGCCAGTAAGAAACAAGCAAGGCCAACAGCTTCATAATTAATATAGCCTCCTGTGTGTTTATTTGGGACTGATGCGGCTCTAGAATCAGGCTGGCGGGAAGGCTTCTCTCAAGGAAAAGGTTTTCTTTTTACATAAATGATCTAGCTTCATAATAAAAAACAAACAGCAAAAATCCTATGAATACTATCATAGCTCATTAAAACAAAAACAAACCCTCCACTAAGAACTGCTGAGTATCTGTAAAAGGCTTGATAGAAACCACAGGCTTCTGTCGCATGTAGAGGTTGGTGTTAGCTGACCAAAAGGTGCTTGCCCTATGGCATTAGCTGCATCGTCCTCAATTTTCAGGAGAACACAGAAGACACAATCTTCAGCACTAGGAGCCTTGGGACAGGTCTCCCCACAGCTCACCCACCTCTTTATTCTGCTGCGTCTGCTGCCATCTCCAGCGCCTTTTCAATGCTTCCTTCTCCACGCCCTTCTCCATCAGTGCATACAGAGCTTTCCTCAGCACCAAGTCTCTATCATGGAAACCCCACATCCCTGTGGGGAGACAGCAAGGCAAAGCTTGATGGAGCTCCACTTACTAATCCAGCCTTTGTTTTGTGGTGACAGGGATCAAACCCAGGGCCTCAAAAAAGGCTGAGTGATATTTCCCAAACCCCTGAGAGGAAGCCCTCCTCAGCAAATCTAACAAACCAAACACAACAGCTAGTAAGACTTGTATAGCATCACACAGTCATCAGGGCCAGAGATCATGAAATGGCTAGAAAATGGGGACCCCTTCCAAAGCTAAGAACAAATAAACAGAGTTACGAGTAGGCTTAATAATTCACAGTGAATGTCACAAAGATCAACCAGAAGAATAATTAGGTATAATTTTCTATGTATATGTATATAGCCACACAAATTTTGCTTACTATGCTCATTACTCTTAGGGCTCAGTGATGCCTAAACTAACCCTGTGCTCTCCCATCTCTAAAGACAGCAAGCCAAGACAAGGTTCTCCCAGCTCCCTAAGCCTTGCTGTGGACCATCCCTTCACCTGTGATGAAGAGTGGTCAGATGAAGTACCACACGTGACACTCGACTCCATTGTTTTCTTTCTACGGGAAGAGAGGATTATTTAAGACTCACCAAGAGAGGCTGCATGCAGCAGGCAGTTCCCATCTCCAGTAGTTGCTAAAGGAAGCAGCCTCTGACAGGCGGAGTCCACACTGACCCACCAGTTCAAACGCCCTGCAGACATGACAGTGGGAGAAAGGAGAGACAGGGTTTTGCTACACACACCAGATTGACTTTGAACTCATGATCCTTCTGCCTCAGCCTCCCAAACCAGGTACTGCATGCTCTGTATTATTGTTGCTGTTACTTATTATTTTGAAACATGGTCTCATGGAGCTGAGACTGACCTTTGAACTCACTAAGTAGCTGAGGTGGCCTTGAACTCCTGATACATCTGCCTCTATGTCCTTGGTATTGAGACGAAAGGAATATAGCATTAAGCCCAATCTCTGGGACTCTTTACATCTTCTTTACTTACAATTGGAATCTGTCAAGCATGACTGGTTAATGAAGGGCAGTTTTGTCTCATGGGATCACTAGACAATGTATGAAGATATGTTTGTCACAATTGGTGGGGAGGTACATACTTCTGGCATCTGTACACAGAGACCAAAGAGAGCATTATCTTATATTCTAGGTTTAGAATATAAGATCTTCTTCTTCTTCTTTTTTTTTTTTTTGTTTGGTTTTTCGAGACAGGGTTTCTCTGTGTAGCTTTGGAGCCTGTCCTGGAACTAGCTCTGCAGACCAGACTGGCCTCGAACTCACAGAGATCCACCTGCCTCTGCCTCCTGAGTACTGGGATTAAAGGAGTGTGCCACCAACACCTGGCCAATATAAGATATTCTTCTATTTAGAATATAAGATAATGCTCAAGGCAACTTGTACAACAAAGTATTATCTGGCATCAAAAGTCAATAGTGCCCAGGCTGAAACTGTTAGCTACTTTGTTTGACTCTGAATCCTTCACTCTGGCAGGAAGACTGTTTACTACAATAGCAGCAAAACTCAGTTTAATTGAATCACCAACAAAAGAAAAACCATGCAAGGTATATGTCCTGTATCATTTACATATATGACAGCACTCAGCAAGTGTGTGGTGTGACTTTTTGTTATAAGCAAAAAGAAAAAGTACATAAAACACCCAAGTAAACTAGATAATTGCCAATCCATTATTTATAGAAGGAAACTATTTTACAAATGACACTTAAAATTTTCTCCAGCAATTAAAAAGTCTACAAAAGTTTAAAGGGAGCTTATAATGTCACTAGCCCAGATAACTTGCTAACTTCTAAAAAGAGTTACAGCTAATACAGATTGATACAAATGAAAAGGCTCCCTTTCTGTACCCCCACTTCCAACCTCCAATTTTCCTCCCATTAGAACTTAAAAAATGTATATTTATTTATGTTATGTGCATGAGTGTTTTATCTGCACGTATGTCCCATGTGAATGCCTGCTGCCCTCAGAGGGCAGAAGAGAGCACTGGATCTCCTGGAACTAGAGTTATGGACAGCTGTGAGCCGACAGGTGAGTACTGACAACAAACCTGTGTGCTCTGGAAGAACAAGTGCTCTTAATTGCTGAGCCATCTCTCTAGTCTCCCATAGCTTTTTTGAGACAGTGTCTCACGATGTAGCCATGGCTAGCCTAGAGCTTGCTGTGTAGACCAGGTAGACCAGACTGGCCTCAAACTCCTAAAAGATTAAATAACGGCATACACCACCAAGCCTGGGCTTCCAACCCGCACCACCTCCATGAGGATGCTTTAATACCTAAGTTTTTTTCAGTATTTCCAACTACCATACTGTTTTACATCAGCTCATTTTTTTAACTGCATTTACTTAGCGTGTGAGTATATAAGCAATGGCACACATGTGCCTGCCACAGCACCTATGTGGGGGCGAGAAGGACAACCTGTAGGAGTCAATTCTCTTCTTCCACAATGCGGGTCCTAAGGATCAAACTCATTCTAAGTCTTGGTGGCAGATGCCTTTATTCACTGAGCTATCTTGATGACCCAAGTTGCTTTTAATGCTAATTTAAGATGAACTCAATTGTAAAGGTAAATAAATCTAGACGTGACTTTCATGCATCAGCTACAGCCATCGTCCTCTGTGCTTGCAAAGGCGCTCCACAGCCAATTCTAACAGCCACATTGTCCATATATTGGCTTTTGGGTATCAGTTAGTAAACCCTTTACTTATGTATCTGGTTTCCCTTCTATTAAACAGGAACTTTCCAAAGTGTCTAATGTTTATTCCTGCTCCTCCCCTGACACCTGGCTAATGTTTATTCTTTATCTCAGCACAAGTATCTGACTGACCCCCGTCTTTGACAGCAATCAGATCAAATACTTAAAGAAGAGGCTACTGATAAAAGCTGGACCCCTATGTGGTCGCAGGCAAAGACTAGAGGGGATAGGACTGAAGAGAAAACATCCACTGACCTGCCTGTTCCAAGGCGACCAGCATGGACTGCTCAATGAGGTCCCTCTCTATGAAGCTTCGGAAATCTTCTTTGTACACAGTTAGATCTGGAAGCTGGAAGGCACAGATGGGCATTTCCAGGGGGTGCTCACTGCTCCCCCCACCCCCACCATTGGAGGAGACATGGGACCGGGCCAGGGAAACAATGCTGGAGCTGGCGTGGGAGATGCCCCTAGACAGGCGTTTTTCTGCAATGAGAAATGGAGTCACCTTAGAATATGTGCAACCTACTCTGAGAACTCTCCACAGACGAAGGTGGTTACCACTGGACAGTTTCCGGCCAAGGAAAAACTACTTAACCAGATACTTCTGAACTTCAGAAGTTTTTCTTAGCCAAATGCAAATGGGGAAATATTTAAAATGGCATCTTTGTAGACACAGTAGTACTAAAAAAGTACTTTCTTTCTAACTTTGTCTGGGGTTTCCCTGACTTCCCTTTCTCTATGACATTATCTTTGACTACCATTTTTCAACATGAGAACGAGCCATTCAGTTAGCAACTGGGTCATTTGTTTAGTGGAAAGAAGAACAAGTAAGAGAAATGGGCTTTAATTAAGCTGGATTTAGCTAAATAATCATTCCAGTAATCCTTAGGGTCTGAGAGAGTGTAGAAAGGATCTCCATTATAGAAACGAAAATGACATGCTGGGCATTGGTGGCGCACGCCTCTAATCCCAGCACTTAGACAAGAGGCATGTGGATCTCGGTGAGTTCAAGGCCAGCCTGGTTTACAGAGAGAGTTCCAGGATAGACTCCAATACAGTACAGAGAAACCCTGTCTCAAAAAACAAACAAACAAACAAAAAAAGACAGTGTCATCAACAACATCTATATCATTTACTATAATGTTTCTTAGTATTCATATTTATCAGAAATGTACAGAGACAGTCAAATTTTAATATGCCAGAGAACAAAACACTAATGAAAACTGTATCCCCAAATCATTTCATTTGTTTTAAGTACATGGCACCTGCAATGCCCCAGCCATACAACATTATGAGCAAAATTTGTCAGTGTAATATTATGTGTTTGCACAGCTTAAAGTACATGTGTGACTATCACAAGGGGATAGGAGCTCTAATGATAGGCAGCTGTCCTTTTCAGGCACTGGCCAGACATTATATAAAGCAAGAACTGTTAGTTTGGCTAGAAGAGAGTAAGGAATGAAAACATCCCTAAAGGAGCACACAGACTCTTCCCAATCATATAAAAGCTTAGTCCTCAGTTCAAGCAATACCTTGAATGATGTCATCCTGTCTCTGTAGGATTGGTCGAGAAGGGCGAGTGGGCTCTCTCTCAGCACACCCTTTTTCAGGGGTCTTAGAGCAACTACTCTCTCCACTAAAGGGTGCGGACAGGTTCCCAGCATGGACTTGACGTAGCTGTTCAAAATCACTGAGGGCAGCACTCACATCCCAGTTTTTTCCTAACAGGAAAAACAAAAAACAAAAGAATATTATATACCCAGGGTGTAATGAAACAGCAGAAAAACATAGGAAGACCATCCTAGCCATCCTAGCACAACTAAGCAAGCTAGGTATGGCAGTACAAGCTAGAACTCAGGAGGTTGAGGCAGGAGGATCAATCAGTCTGAAGCCAGTCTGGGTTTCATCAGACTCAATTTCAAACACCTCGTATCAAAAGCAAACCTAGTAATGCTGGGCACTGGTGGCGTATGCCTTTAAACTCAGCACTCAGGAGGCAGAAGCAGGTGGATCTCTGAGTTCAAGACCAGCCTTGGTCTAGACATGACAGCCAGAGCTACACAGAGAAAACCTGCCTCCATAAATAAACAAACAAACAAACAAATTAAAATAGATAGATAAACCTAGTAAGAACATACTAATGCACACTACGATTCTATTTTAACTTTCTTATCCTACTAATTTTCATCAATCTAAACACCAATTTTCTTATTATCTACTTCCTACGTAAGCTACATAATGGTAGAAACTTTGTCTCTAAACTCAAAGGGCCCTTCAGAGATTTAGTCACCTAAAATGAAACTCCTTTTACAGATAAAGGAGACAGCTTTACAGAAGTACCACAACTTGTTCAAAGTCAATGTTCATTTGTACCAGGACTCAGCAGCTGAGGTAGACTCTAGGATGTCATAAGCCACCTAAAGGTATATACAAAGTGCATGTCTCCAGTGAAGAGTTTCTCGATAACACAGCAACAAAAGGTGCTATACTCCTCCCACTTTAAAAACAGCTCTCTATTTGAAAGACTCCATGGTGGTTTTCTCTAGTTAAATTGCTTAATACATGTAGACTAACTGCACCTGTATTACTGTAGCTGTTACGGCTTTGGTTTAACTAATCGTCCAATATCCTACACCTCCATCTACTCAAGGAATCCCATGAGATTCATTTTTCTAAAGCACAGTTCTAATCATTTTACTTCTATGTTCAAAATCTTAATGTAATGCCTCATCACTACTACAGAAGGTTCCTTTGCCCATTATTAAAGGCTTTCTATGGTCTCTCCTATTTTCTAGCTTTTTCTCTGTGCTGTAATTTACTTATTTATAAAAATGTAGATAATAGCACTAGTATGCTATGTGGCTGTTTCTTCCAGGTTGGGTGTGATCATCGACATCTGACACCCTCTTCTGGCCTTTCTGGATACTAGGCATGCACACAGTATACACACATACATGTCAGACACTCACATATGCACATAAAATAAGACCAACCTTCTTTTAAACCCCCTCTTGGTAGGGAAGCAGTAATGAGGTAATGAAGTTCATAAGGTCCCTCCTCTACCCAAGGGTATATATATAAGCTCTAACAACTGCTGAGAAGACAGACTTTTTGGTGGTAGAGCTGTCCAGTTACCCATGTACTTGGCATGCTACCCAAGCTCCTAAAGTAACCTCAGTAAGCTCTGGTTCAGCAGGCTAGATTCGGGTGAGGTGGCCTCTATGATCTGCTCCCTCTATCAGGAATGGATAGAAATAGATTTCCCCAGGAAAAGTTTTGCAATGCTATGCCTGATGTACGGTGCTGTTCTGAAGGTTAAATGAGTCGAAAGCACAATGCTTTGTATGCAGAGTCCTACATGCATCTACTACTGCTGTTGTAGTCTTTGTTTTAACCCTCCAGTTAAGCTATGCCAACTACTCATGCTTGCTGATTTAATTCTAACACTGTTTTTAGTCTCCTTGCTATTCCTAGACCACACCAAGACTGTTCCCCACAAGGGCCTCTCCACTGCCTATTCTTATTGCATAAGAATACTCTTTCTCCAGTATATTTCCATAGATGAATCTTTGTAAACTTCAGGTATCTGCTCAAATATCACAGTCTTTGTAAGTCCTACCCTGACTGCCCAGTTTAAAATCACATGTACTTCATCACTCTGCTCATCATTTTCCAAAACAGTTGTGAGCCACCATGTGAGTACTAGGAATTGAACTCAGGTTCTCTGTAAGAACAGCAAACGCTCTTAACTACTAAGCTATCTCTCCAGCTACCGATTAATATCTAAATCCATCAACTTCTCTTCCTCTCACCCACACTGTGGTCTAAGTCACTATTATCTCTCACAGGAACTATGGCTTCTCATCTATTTTTACCACCGCCACCTTCCAATATAATCCTATTGGAATATATTAAACACTGAAACTCTTAAAAACTATTCTTATTCAGCTAAACATTTCCAGTGAACCTGGGGTGTAAATCCCTTATTATTGCCAACAAAGGCCCCATACTCTGCTTCTTGTCCACCTAACCAGCTCCCCATCTCTCTTCCTGTCTCACTATTGGTTTCTACATCCCATCAATCCCTCTCCTCTCAAGAGTCATCTTGTAAGCTATCTCTCCTAGATATGCCTTCCTGAAAAAGGCTTCCTGCACTCTAGAGCTAAATCAGATTTCCATCTGCACTCTCATAGGGCTCTCAGCTTTTTTTTTAATACCATGAGTGTCTATAACATGCAAGAAGTAATTTGTAACATAATCATTAAGAGTCACAGTTTTAAAAGCTGCCAAGGTTCAAATCCTATGTAACTTCACTGAGTCTCAGCTTTCAAACATGGCAGTTGAGAGAATACATCTCATGAATGGCGCATGTACTGGGTACACTGCACAGATACTGACACATGTTTTAAGAGGATGATTTCATTTTATTTTTTCTTAATTTTGAGTATGTTTTGGGGCACCTGTGTGGTATACATGTGTGGTGTGTGCATACAAGTGCTTATAGAGGCTAAAGCATGTATGCAGTATATAAATGTAGTGTATATATACAAGTGTGTAAAGGCTAGAGGTCAAGATCAAGTGTTTTTCGTTATGATTATTTTAGTGAGCTGGTATAACTTTCTCCTTGGATTATCTGAACATAAACTCATGGTGAAGAAAGCTCTCCAATACATACAAGGTGAAGGGGAATTTTGGATTTTAAAACTATAGTGGGTCATACAAAGCAGATAATTAGAAGCAACTTAAATGGAGGGCCTATTGTACACAAAATATTTTTCTGCTCACCTTACTCTAAATCACCCTAATAGTATATATGACATTTTTCTTTCTCTTTCACATTCTCTCCTTACCTTCCAGAAGATCTCGGGCCAGCCCTGGCTCTGCACCTGTGGAACGGACAAAATCCGACAGGACAGCATCCATGTCCAGGGTCATGGGATCATCAAGTACTCTCAGGCAGCAGGATGTGAGCAGAACATAGATCAAAATCCAGATTTTGCCCTGAAAAGAAGATAAGTGCCCGAGGCTCAAGTAACTAGAAGAGCATCCTCAGAGCCCAGTTTCAACAGTTTCTTAACCAAATGGTAAACTAGTCTGGTGCCTTCATTCCAGCTGAATGTTGAAGCAAAGAAGTTCAAAAAATTTCATGAAGAATCACATTTAATATCCTCATTAACAATAATGTCTTAATGCCTACAATAATCACAAACCACTCTGAACAAAGCTTTCCCTGCTATTGTTTACTTGCGTAAGGAGGGGGCACTAGGGTTAAATCCGGGGCTTGTATATACTAGGCAGTGTGCTCTACATCCACCCCGCTGCCAAGTTAGCTTCTCTAGTCTAAAGAAAGGAGGCAGCAGATCGAGGTCCTATAAAGCTTCCCAACCCGCAATGCTCGCTAACACGGTGCCGTGTTCATTTCCTTCCTGAACGTACTTATTATTAAGGGTTTTTAGCTGGGGTTTTTGTTTTTGTTTTTGTTTTTTGAAACAGCGCCTCATCATGTAGCTCAGGCAAACCTCAAACTTGTATCAATGCTCCTGCTCAGTCTCTTGAATGCTGATATTACAGCATATGCCATCATGCCCTGGCTTTCCTCTGAAGTTATTTTAATCATTCTCTGTCTAATCTTTGATTTTCACAAGTCAAGTTTTCGGGAGTAGGAAGCTGTGTGTCTTCTTTACTGATTATCATTGGAATGAATCACCTGACACAATATATGGCACATTGGCCCTTAGTAGATACTTATTAAACAAATGAGTACTACACAGCAGACTATTTCAGGGTTGACCAATGTCCGCATGCTAGTTGAGAAAACAGGAAGAGAAAAGTGAATGCTGAAACCACTCACAATAAAATAATAGGCTGCTCTGTACACCTGGGTAGAGAGCCCAAAGGCTCATAACAAAACTACCTTCTGGGACTCAGGAACAGGCAGAATCAGAAGTGTGTTTTTCCTCCCAGGATAAATGAGTGCTGGGTAAGTTTGCCTGGGAAAAACTGCTTCTTTCAGACTTTAGCAGAAACTATGTCCCTGACCTGACGGCCTGACACCAAGCCAACATTCCTCTGTGGTTAACAGTCCCAGTAGAGAAAGCACAAGTAGGGGGACAACGACCTTTGACAAATCCACAGGGTCTGCAGAAGGGGGTCATTCATAAAGTGCCCCACTGTACCCACTGATGCCATCTTCTGGAAAAGCCAAAGCCAGAATTCTTGAAAACAACGGGTGATTCAAACAAAACTTTCCTCCTAAAACCTAAAGCCTAAGAATGATTCCTGGGCATTCTTTCTTCACTCCTCTCCTCCCCAGGTTTAGAGGTATGATCTGATCCCAATTTTCTTCATTTCTTGGATATAGTAAGGCAAAAAGAGGAAATATTTGTGGGTTATAAAAATTCTAAGTCTCTAACCTGATAATTGCATTGCTTGGTTGTTGGTAGTTCTTTTGATTCTTGTTTTTTGTTTTGTTTTGTGAAAGAGAAACCATTGTTTCTAACAGTGCTCTAACAATACAAGAAATCAGTGGGTACCAGATATGATTTATTCTATCCCAGCCCAATATTTATCAAGGTATCCGCAATACGGTAGGCAGCAATAAATACCTGCTGAATAAATTCATTATAAACAAATGTCTAATTTTCATCTGTTTCAGTATCCTAAGCACCAAGCCAGCATTCCTCTGAGGTTGTTAACCTTATGCTACCCCAGAACTACATGAAGAACTTTTGACCAAGCTTTCTGAAAAGTGATTCAGTCCCCTTGTGGTTTGTGGTTTGAATTTAACGTCAAGGTAGGCAAGTGGTACATGTCTGTAATATCAGCACCCAGGAGGCAGAGACAAGAAGATCGAGAATTCAAGGCTACAATGAAAGACCCTGTCTCAAAAATATAAAAAAATGAAAATTGAATGCATTCAGAAATCATGGTGAATGAAAGGTTTCTCACTTCCTAATGAAAGTGAGAATTCTCTCCAAAACCCACTGTGCTCACCACTTTAGTCACAGGACATGGGAACTTCCTAAGTAACAACACATAAATAATCCAAAGTTAAGAACCTAGCTCCAAAAGGAACTTCAATCTTCCCTCTTAAGAAATAAAATAAGACTACTGAGTGTGGTGGCTCAGGTCTTTAATCCCAGCACTCAGGAAGCAGAAGAAGACAGATCTCTGTGAGTTTGAGGCCAACTTGTTCTACATAGTGAGTAACAGGACAGCCAGAGCTATGAGACCCTGTCTCAATAGATAGATAGATAGATAGATAGATAGATAGATAGATAGATAGATAGAGACCCTGTCTCAATAGATAAATAGACAGACAGACAGACAGACAGACAGACAGACAACTTTAACAACCTTCTGAGAGGATGTAGGAAAGACACACACAGCGCTTAGCAAAAAAGAAGATCTGACAAGCCCCAGGCACACAGACAATTCCAGCCAGACTTAGGCTCCTGAGAGAGAAGCAAACGAAAACCATGGGTGCTGTGGCATCTTACAGGGTAACGGAAGGTAGGTCATTCATCTCAAAACATCTAAAATAAACAAATAACTCATATCTGGAAAGACTGGCTCTTCAGCAAAAATGTGAAGCACTAAAGGAAACTGCTTGGCAGCAGTCTTGTATTTATTCTCCAGGTGCATGGCATGGACTGTGCCCTTTGTCCAACAGGTAAGGACAGCAGCTCTTATTACATCACCACAACACCTGGCTAAAGCATCTCGAATTCCTAATGGGATATGGAGCCAATGACAAAGACTCAGTCTATCTCTGTCTCAGTACACAGAAACAAGAAAACGAAACACTAACCTTCAACTTTTCAAACAAAGGGAGGGACACAATCTTTGTTGATTGTGTGTATAGACAGATTCAGCCATCAAAATCATCCAGCTTCCTAGAAAAGGGGTTATCACCAATTATTCAGTCCAGTTCAAGGACTCGTCTATTACACCTCTAGCAGCTCATCCAGTTTCCAAGTGAATACAAGTTTTGACAGGGAACGCATTACTTTCAGTTCCAACTGTTACAAACTATTTTCTTCTAAACAAAAGCCATCACCAGACTCCTCCCCTAAAACTGTTTACATAATGATTCTTACTCTGTTCTATAGAACAGCAAAATTGAGAATGATGGACTTTTCAATGCAAAAACATTAAACCAACTGAACATTGGGTACTGTGCTCAATAATAAATATCAACAGTGAACTGGACACAATTCCCATGTTTATAAAACGTCTACACTGAAAATGACGCAGTTGTAAAATCATACAGCAATAAATGCTGGAGATGGGAATGTTGTCTCCTGTAAGGAGTGAGGAAAAGCCCCTATGGAATTGCTATTTAATAAGAACAGTGAACAACTGGAGAGACAGACTGGGACAGAAGAATGCTCCAAGGCAATGAAGCATTGTATATCACGGTACTGACCGAAGTGAGAGCAGCAGAAAATACAGAGAGGAGCTAGTAGACCCTAATGAAGTTTCCGATTTTATTCTAAAAGTAATGATAAGCACTGATGGGTCATGAGCACAGGTGGAAAATGATCAGAAATTAATTATTAAAATAGCAGACTGAAAATTTTTGTTTTGTTTTGTTTTGTTTTTCAAGACAGGGTTTTTCTGTATTGTTTTGGAGGCTGTCCTGGAACTCGCTCTGTAGACTAAGCTGACCTCGAACTCACACTGCCTCTGCCTCCCGAGTGCTGGGATTAAAGGCGCGCGCCACCAATGCCGACTGAAAGGTTTTAAAGACTTTTTTTGTTGTAAGGTGGGAAGAACTGAAGCAGCACAGTGGACTTAGGAAATTATTGCTAAGGAAATATGATGAACTAGAGTAGGATGACAGCAGAGAATAGGAAAACTGAATGCATGGCCGGGCGTTGGTGGCGCACGCCTTTAATCCCAGCACTCGGGAGGCAGAGGCAGGCAGGTCTCTGTGAGTTCGAGACCACCAGGGTCTACAGAGTGAGTTCCAGGACAGCTTCCAAATCAATACAGAGAAACCCTGTCTCGAAAAAAACCAAAAAAAAGGAAAACTGAATACATTCCATCTGTCCCTTCTTGGACAACTGACAGCTAAATCAATAACTTATCATTTACATAATTTAACTTGATGAAAAAACCTATTTATTTTTTGAAGATTTATTTATAGTCTACATGTATGTATATGTAGTACTACATGCATGTCTGGTGCTCAAAGAGGCCAAAAAAAAGGATACTGGATCCCTGGAAAATAGAATTATAGATGGTTGTGAGCCACCATGTGTGGATGCTGGGAACAAACTCAGGTCTTTTGTGAGAGTAGCACATGCTCTTAGCCACTAAGCCATCTCTCCTCCTCAAAATCAAATTTCTTTATCCTTCTGTTGTATCTGCCCAGTTTGAATGGCTGGCCACTCAATTTCTCTACCACTAGATGGAGTGACTGAACAAAGTAAGATCAAATAATTCTGTAGATCAATATGACAAATTATATTTAGTTTCCTCTTTTTGTTGTAATTGTTTTGTTTTTCAAGACAGGGTTTCTCTATGAATCAGCCCTGGCTGCCCTGGAACTCGCTCTGTAGACCAGGCTGGCCTCGAACTCTGCCTACCTCTCCCTCCCTCTGTCTTCCAAGTGCTGGTATTACAGGTGTGTACCACCACTGCCTGGCTAGTCTCCTTTCTCAACAAAACACTGTTGTCTTTTACTTGACTTTGTCACAGCAAGCAATTGTCTCAGGATCATTCCACACCTTCACCATTAGCTCCTAGCTTCCTAGCTAAGAAGTTATCTCACCTATTCTTAGCAAACCATCTTGCTCCCACTGCACAGAAAGAACAAAACAAAACAAAACATTACCAAGCAAGGCAAAAGGACCTCTTTAGATTTTCTCCCTTGCCCTTCTTATCCATTTGTGGTGGTTTAAATAAGAATGACACCCCTCTCCCCCAAAGGCTCACTTATCTGAGTGCTTGGTCAACAGGGAGTGGTGCTACTGAAAGGGATAGGAGGTGTGGCC